CTGTACACCGAAAACAATTTCAGCGTGAGAAGCAGAAATCTTTTACAGTAAAAAGCATGAACACGTATAACCAAATGGCTAATTAAGGACAGTCGTACACTCACCCGTTAGCACTGCCTAATGCGATGAAAGAAGTATCGCTACAGCAATTGAGCTCGACTTATAGATTAAGTGGCTGTCTTCATTGTTCATTCCCTTATGTTACATGAACGGAGTTGTGGGCTAGTAAATGTTGGCGGATGGCAATGTAATTTTTTAGAATTGCAACTCACACATCGTCTATTGTACATGCGAAGAATCAGTATCGAATGCTATCCAATAATAATAATAATAAGCAGACGAATCGCTATCAGCGTTGACATCAACAGAACGGCCCCGCCAAATCGCTGGACATTGTTGGGCTCCCACCACACAGTGCGACATGCGGACAAACGAAGTCGATATGAACGTATCGGCAATTCGCTCCGAAGACAAATTCGTATCAACATGAACCTCAAGACACGAATCGAACCAACGGCTAAGAAAGATATACGCTAAGGCATGGCGTGGACTTGGGCCCCCTTAGAGAATCTCGTCGGCCGCTCTGTGCATTGTTTGAATAACGTATGATTGTGTCGACATCCGCCAGCATTTCTTCGATCCGACTGGGTTGTGCCCATACATCAACGATTCGTTTTGATACGTTGAAGCGAAGTGAAGAAAATTCGTACTGTATCCACTAATAATAATGGACCTGAAGATTGCCTTTTCTTCAACTTGGAAATACTATTTGTCACGAGCATTATGTGTATATACGTTTCTATATACGTGTTTAGGTCAATTAATTCAATCTCGCAAGTATTTATTTCTGGTGCAGAAAAATCATGATACACGAGTTTTAATTTCGAATAGACCGTAACATTTTGGGAATGATAAGGTTTGCACGAACATTGGCCGCTTCCGAAGACAATGCTACACCAATCGTCGTTGGAGTCAAGATTAAAAATGAAAACTGACTCAAGTGCCGTTACAGTTGTGCAGAATAGACGCATGATGATAACTGTAGTCATCTAACTACATTGGGTTTCTTTCAGAACTGGAATAGGGCTCTGTGAATCGTTGAGGGCTACATTCTAAGCGACTGCCATTGTAAGAGCAAGCATAAACGATGGAATCCCACAAGCTGCCACAGCACCGTAATGAACGATCGATATTCTCAATAAGAAGAACGAACTACTTTATTCCTTTGAAAACTATGCCTACCTCATTTAGAAAACAGTGTTTTTTTTTTTTTTTTTTTATTTACATATAGCGTTCTGCAGCAACGATCAGCGTCTAGACGGTTTCAATTACCATCCCATGAAATGCAAAAAAGGTACATGGAACAACCCTGGAATGACACTACTGAAGTGAATAGGTTTTCGACATATGATAATCTGTTAGTTCAGGCTTTCTGTTGTTCACACCATTCCTGATGTTTCGTAGCACTAGAAGCTTCATTCAGTAATATCTAGCCCTATTTGGCTGCATGTGACAGACCGAAATGTTAGTTGATTTGAAAATGACGCGTGTCATCTACCAGTAATTTACCATCGGATCTTTACTCAGTAGCGTAGAAGTATGCGTCTTCGGTTAAGTGTGCAGCTATGCCACGTATGCGGGCATGAGTAACAGACGCCTGTATAAATGCGTGTGTGAAAATAACACTTCGTATATTTTTTTCATGCATCAACACCATACCCATTACTTATCGTCTGTGTCACTGAAGAATATTTGCATCCAAGTAGAGGGTTCGATTATCACTATACGAAACACAACCATCTCATTGCGCGAATTTCTAAAGTATTCAGCTAAATTATGTTGTGTAAACGCAAACTATGCGATCAGATTCATTAGGAAATATTCACAAGTTCAACAAATGGTTAGATGGTGCCACACTGATGTCGATCATTATAATTGGTGTTGATCAATAAACGATGGTTTTTCCCATAGGCAGCCTACTATTATAGCCAAATTTGAAGCTCCCTTACGTGTCACATATTAAATCTATTGGCACACTCATCAAATTTGACATACATTTAGTCCACGACTGAATTGAGTAAACCACTACAAATGACATTGTGATCACTTGCCATTTTTTCCGCTCCTCTTCTCAGAAACATTTTACCATTGTCAACTAGACGTTTTTACCAGAAATACCAGAAACCCTAAGCGATATCTACCCCCACAAATGCTGCCAGCGGTCTAATACAACCTGACAAATTATATCCCGTTACCGTCACCCGGACGCGCAGAAGTTCATCATCATCATCAACAACAACATCAAAGAATAATCGATTAAATTATTAGCGTAAAACAGACAAAGGTGCCGTCGACAACCGCTAAGGTGTTCCCGATACTGGCGTCCGTCCTTGCCGCTGTTGATGGATGAAGCAAAGATGCTGCGAAATCGCTGGACGTGGCTCGCAGGTATTTAGCGGGAACGACCATAACGGTGACAATGATGTAACCGCCTCATGAACATGCTCATCAATTACAGTTGCATGATTACTACTGTAAACAAGATAGGCGTCGTAAAGGCGGCAAAGAACTGAAAGCTGCCACAAAAGCAATAACACATACAACATCATATATATATATGGTATTTTTAGGAGTATAATAATACCAAAAAGGCTTGAGGACCAGCTTATCTGTTCGTTGCAAAGTTGCCGGGTAGCCGTCAGTAGCGAAAGAATATTTGGCTGGATCGCCTTTCCTCCCTTTGCCGCCATCGTTTGTCATCATCATCACACGTTTTTTGTTCGCGTCCGCGAACTATTTTTTTGCGTTTATCGCTAGAGCTGGTACTACTAAATATAGTGATAATAAGCAATAGTGAAAGTAATTAGTTTAGGATTACGTA